ACGACACTGTGTACACACGTGCCAAATGCTCACACAAAACACCGGCATTTTATCATCTACAAACGACACAAGAAAACTAAGCATTCTGAAAGTTTTACTCCTTTACGACTACACAGCGGTGCTAAACAAATCAATTCATCAAACTTTAGATTACGTCCTCGGAGCAACATCACCAATAAATCACACAGGCAAGAAACATGACACTGATAAAACCAAGTGGAGATTGGGTCGGCATACAGTGTTGTGACTTGTTATGTTGATTGTATAGGCCGCAAAGTGTGATGTTATTGGTGCCCTCTGCACGGCTAGTGATGATCTGATTTTGCGAGGCCGAACGGCAGTGACTGTTATCTCATCGGAGGTTCTTGTCGCTTGCATGCTCGTGTTTTATGTTCTGATTTGTATGTGTTGATGGCATGAAATGCAGAGCTAGTTTATTGCTTTTGAGAATGGACAGAGGTGCATTCGAAACCTTGGCAGCAAATTATAATCGGATCATGACACAGGTCTCTTAGTAAGCTACTTTTTAACCTAACAAATGATGTGAAAAGTAAGGTTCGATAGATTGGAAAACTTTATCGGATTTATTCAAAGAATAAACTGTCGTTCTCTTTGATGGTCTGAGTACAAGGTAAATATATTATCAAATACTCAAACATATGCATATGTATATATATATATATATATATATATATATATATATATATATAATACATATATATGTATATATATATATATCTCTCTCTCTCTTCTCTCTCCCCCTCCTCTCTCTCTCTCTCTCTCTCTCTCTCTCTCTCTCTCTCTCTCCTCTCTCTCTCTCTCTCTCTCTCTCTCTCTCTCCTCTCTCCTCTCTCTCTCTCTCTCTCTCTCTCTCCCTCTCCCTCACTCTCTCTCTATATCTGTATCTACTTCTATATCTATATCTATATATATTATATATATATATGCATCTATGCTTATATACAAGGTTATATCATGTGCAAGATGATATATATATATATTATATATATATATATATATATATAGATCTTGATATATATATATAGATAATGCATGGCGATGAGAAAAATTAATATATATATATTATATATATATATATATATATAGACAACTCCATTTATATTAATATATTCATACATATATATATATATTAATTATTATATATATAAGAACCGATCGTACAAGTTGCCGTGTCGGTGATGCCCATTCAGTTCGTCGTCTTCAGCAGCCATTCAGTGCAGCACGAACGCCGACCCCTCCTCGCCGTGCCGAGCACGTCCCGGTTCGGGACTGGTCGTCACCAGTCGCCCCGGGACGGCCCTGCGCATAATTAGCTGTCACTCACACGCCCAGCGTCGGCGATAAACATCACTATGCATGGCGGTGCACGTCCTCCCAGGTGGGTCCCCACAGAGGAGGTGCTCGCCGCTGATTGGCTGTTGTGATTGCCCGCGGCCGCGGCAGATGCTCGCTGGCCAGTCACATTGGCGATGAGAAAAAAAAGAAACGCGGCGGAGTGGGTCAAGAATGAGACGCATCGGGAAAGGAAGAAGCGCATTGGCATCGGACGGCGCACTGTCAGTGCTCATTTTCTCTAGATTCCTCGAATTCATTGGACTGTGTGAACAAATCTGATACGACATCCATGACGTATTGTTGAAATTGACTCACGAAACAGCTATTAATCTTTCTTTAGATTAAGTTTTAAGGTCGTGGTCTCACCCAATAGGTTTGGGGGCTGAGCAATGCAAAATGACGAAAACTATGCCAACATGGCCAACAAAAGGGTCTATCTCCGTATCTGGCCACGTTGCACTCGATGTTTGGGGCTGGATCCCGAGTTGGTGGGGGGGGGGGGGGAGCAGGGGGACGACTGTGGCTCCCTCTGCAGAATAGGAATTACGCACCTTTATGGTCTGGTAAACACTACTACACTCGATGCTCTCGGCGCCCCAGGATCCTTTCGACAGATCGAAGTACTTTTCAATTACTGCTATGCATCTAAGTCAAACAACTCCGGACCCGGACTTCATTTTCCCCCAAACAAGCGTGTAACGGCAGTCATAAGTGACTTTTCCGACGCCATTGCCGCATCCGGTTTAATACCATTCTCGAATAAGGTCGTTTCCGGCTCAGCGTCGTTTCCGGCGTGGTTGGCAGCGGCCATCAGCGGTGGCCACCCACACCTCGGGCGCGGGATGGGGGTCGCCAGTTGTGCGGCTCCAGGTCCCCCCCCCCCCCTGAATAATTCAGGAGACCACCGGGAGCGGCGCTGGCCGCTGTTTGTCGCTCGTTATAGCCAGGGGCGTATGGTAGAGCGCTGGTGTCGACAGGGACCTTGCCCCATGTAACACTGCGGGCGAACGCCTCCTCAGGGAAAGCGAACGCCTCCTCAGGGAACATAAGCGCCGGACATCACTCTTTCATCACATCATTCATCACATCATTTCATCATCATCACATCACATCAGCCGTCACTCTTTCCTAAGAAACCTCTTGAATGGGAGGGGGGCTCAGCCCATCCGTCATGATGGTAGGCTAATTTTGGCCAGCCAGCTGGAGTTCATCCACATGGCATGGTGCTATGCCGAACACGATGGTCTGTTTCATGGGACCTTTGCGTCCCATAGATATCCTGTTTTTGCGTTTCCGTTATCTGCCTTCCTGATCGCCAACCTTAATTGCCATGGTAGCTCGAGGCTAAGCAGGAGGTATTACGATAAGCGTATCCACCCAAATAACTCTTAATCTCTTAATCTTCGATCTAAGTTGTTAAGTACATTTGCGAAGAACATTATGGACATAGATAGCACGGTAGTAATAGCCTTATTTCTCGTATATAAAAAACAGGAGAATGGAGATAAAGATGTATTTGATATTTCGGCAACATGCCTTTATCGAAAGGAAAAGCAGAGGTGAATCCTGACGTGTTTGAGACTTGCGGTGCATTGTAGGAGCGGTGGAAATTCCGCAGCAGTAGTCCGGCAGAGCTCTCGTGCATTTGCTACAGCAAATCTTTTCACTTTGATCGATTTAATAAACATTTCAGAATACCTTCCAAGGCGCGATTCCTCCACCTGGTAATCGCCATGATGTCCCTTTCCCTTCCTCTTCCCCCTCCCCCCACCACTTGCGTGCTGGGACCGCCCCTGATCGTTGACCTGACCGTTATCGTTACTGCTGATGTGGCCATCGGCGCCCGGACATCATCAGCCAGCATGCCCGGGCCGGCACGTGAGCGTGGCGCCCCATTGCTTGATTGGTCAGACCGGGCCGCAGTTGCTGCCGTTCGTTCGCCGCGTCAATGGTTTTGAATGGGTTTGCGCCGGTGGACTTGTGGGTGTGCCTATGGGCAAGGCCCTCTGATTTGGCGGTAGATGCTGGGTGGATGATAAGTGCTAGGTGGTTAGCGTGGTTTGACCCAGCGGTTGTGTGTCGTGGGGTACAAATGGTTGCAACCATCGCGGTCTGACTTCCGCCGAGTACCTGCCGCCCCCGCCCCCTATCGCTGTCCCCTGACGTACGTATGACCAAAACACCCAGTCGGTGATATATTGCCGTCCCTGATTCTCCTTTGTTTTGCATGAAGCGCTTGTTGGATCGGCCTGGACTTCTGTTCCCTGGGGAGTCCTTCAGATTTGCGATTTTTCGGGCTCGTTGACTACCACTGTGGAACACCCATACCCTCATGCTCATACATGTGGCGTGCTCTGATCCCAGTGATGTGGGTGCACTGCTTTGGTCCCTTGACGCCGTGGTTTGTGGTTGACTCAGTGTGTTACACGACGAGCGCTGCCAGAAATTGTGGAGGGAGAGACGAGTGTGGAGCGGGGCGGCGGGGGGGGGGGGCGAGAGGGAGGGGGGAGACAGGTAGTCTGGACCGACAGAGTACTGCCAAAGTCGCTTTTTGGCGAGACCTGCGAATAACACTCGTTGGATGAAGACTGTTGTGAGGCTCACCGAAGAACAGCCAGTGATTGAGCAGACTACCACATGCTCTGTAACAGTCCACATCCAACGTTGCATGAACGCCCATCACGCTGCGTGGACCGATGTTCATGATCGGCAGCGGAACGGAGAACCGGCGCGACGGGCCGCATCGGACCATCAAGTGACGTCGCACCCAATCGCCTGCTTGCCGTGGTTTTGCCACTGAGTATTAGCGATTATCCAACCAAGAAATTAAATGTGGCTTGCTGAGAATGGTACTGACACTGAAAATGGATGTTATTCCTGTTCATACATCATCGTAATGCGCGCAGGAAAGGCAAGAATCGCCTTCATTACTTCAAGACATTTGTCAGAGATTGCCAACAATTTGTCAGACCTAAGGCCATCTAGTCGAGTTTTCCTGAATGTCCTTTGTACAAGTTCTTCTGTTCGTCGGCATTCTCTCACCCCACTTCTCTATGGCTCCTAAGTTCTAACATATTACCCAAAGGCTGCAAATGGGGAGGCTTTAAACCGCTTATGTTTATGAATGAACTTAAGACTCGAGTCAACTCCGGTGTGACAATAGGATAAATGCAAATGCGCTTTAAGTGAGTTGTTATGGGCTGGAAAATAGAGACGCGGTTGTTTTGAAATGAAAACATCGTTTTCTTGGAAAGCTGCGGAGGGTTGTAAAGAAAAGAATCATTACTTACCATAAGTTGACAAGTTCCGGATCCCCAAGAGTAATCTTGGAAATTCCTCACATTTCTAGCCATACAAGAGAAAGCAAAATAAAGATCCAGGCAAAGTTATTCACACAACAAGAACGATTTAAAGCGGCTATAGTGTAGACAATCTATCGATGAAGATTTCAGTGATGGAAACATTATGGATAGAAAGTCTATACAATGAGAAGGAATGTCCCCGCGTTTAAGAATCTTCTTTTAAAACTGCATGACACACCACGCATTTGAATTGTCTTCGCTTCAAGTCGGAGTCACTAGTGTGTACCGGTGTTTGTCATGGGCTATTCTGCCAGCAAATAGACCAAGCTCAGACCCATTGGCATGGAGGTCTGTGCCCGCATGGTCCTGCCCATTTACATGGCATGGAGGCCAGGGCTGTCTGGGCCTGCCCGTTTACATGGCACAGAGGCCGGTGCTGTCTGGACTGCCCATTTACATGGCATGGAGGCTGGTGCTGTCTGGACTTGCCCATTTACATGGCACGGAGGCTGGCGTCCGGCCCGACCAGTGGACTTTGACTTTGACCTGAAGCGGAGACAATTCAGGATGTATGGTGTATCACGCAGTTTCAGAAGTGCCGCTAAATCTTGGTGAACTCCGGCATCGGCGTAATAACTTGATATAGGAATATATCTTGTTGAGCTAGCGTTGCTTGTAGATTTTTACCCACGTATGGCAATAATTAGACCACAGCTAATAATCTACCCTGTGAACATTTCGAGGGAGTCATGTCGTTCAAGCGCCTCTTCATCACTTGAAATTCCCGTGCCAATCCTGTTCACAAAACTAGACAGTGAAAAAGAGTTCATAAACGATCCACTTCACTGAGGTCGTTCAAATTACCCTGCGTTGCTAAAAATGTTACACAAATACCCCGACACTGACCGGGATGTTTAACATTAACGCCGCCACTGCCTGTGAGCTGGCGATTATCGAACGTCTGGGTAATACAAGTAACCCCTCAGCCCACTACCATCTCAGAATCTAATCACGGGACCGGAAAAATTCGAACAGCAACCGATAACTGTCGTAACCCACCTCAGCATCGTTCAGTTGAGATATGTGACGTGATTGGTGACGTTACGTGTTGCACAAAACACCTTGATACCAACATGTTGATATGGCTTCAGGTTTTTAACATCTTTCGGCATTATTGAACATGCAGCTTTGCAACTGGTGCCGAACAAAATTTCATCGTTTCCTCTCGTTTACAATGACATGCAACGCACGCAGGCACAGGCACGATACAACGCATTTATACAGCGGTGTTTAGATACGAGTTAGATTTTGAAATGCTGCCCCAATCTCGCCCGCTTGATTTTGTGGCTAGTGTCCCAAAACCGAAAAGGGTTGACTTCTAGCCCCCCCGCAGGTGCTAGCGAAGGAATTTATGAGGGCTTTCATTGTAATGTGAGTGGGGATATGCAATACGAGTGTTTTATTGACGGCACTTTAAGCTCAACGCTCTTAATTATCCGAAACGCGATACCAAAGTGTCTCCACTCTCCGATGCCTAGTTCGATCGCCTTGACGAAAGGCTTTGAGACCGCTGCTATGTTTCGAACAGCTTTGTCGCCTTGTCGACAACATCCTTACTACTGTTCCGTGTGTGCCCGTGTCGACGCCTAAACAAAAGGCGAACTATTTGCTGCATCACCGTCGCCTCGCGCACCGGATCGCCCGGCAAAGAAATGTTTGCCTAACCGTCCCTCTGCTTGCCTGACCGCCGTTCTGTCTCCCTGCAGTGGCACCATCACCGAGGCGGACGATGTCCTCCCCGGACGTGGTCCGGGCGGCGCTCGTGACTCTGGCGATCATCTGCGACCTCGCGGCGGCCCTGTGCCGGAGCAGTGCCGCTGTCGACCAAGCACGTCGGACTGCAGCCACTCCCGTCTCGACGCGGTGCCTATCTCCCTGGACCCGCGCGTTCACATCCTCCGACTTCAGGGCAACAGGATCGGCAGCATAGAGGACACACTCGGCTTCTACCAGAGCCTGCGTGAGCTGAACCTGGCAGATAACAGCCTTACATCGCTCGGGGAAGGACAGCTGGTCATGCAGGAGGAGCTGAAGCAGCTAAGACTAGAGGACAACCTGCTCTCCGTCTGCTCCCCGACTCGTTTAAAGGTCTCCGTCGACTGCTGCGTCTGGACCTCAGCGGCAATCGGCTGACGGTGCTGGACCGGCCGGTGTTCGGTGGATGCTGAAGCTGAAGACATCAACCTTGGGGGGAACAGGATCAGGACCGTCGCCAGAAACGCATTCGAAAACCTGGGCGAGCTGGTGACACTGGACTTGAGTCATAACCGGCTAACGCACCTTCCATCGGAGTCGTTTCGCCACTTGGCCCGGCTCAGGACTCTGGCGTTGAATGGCAACCGTTTGCAGGCAGTGCCTTTCCACGCTTTCTTCGAACTGCGATCATTACATAGCCTGTCACTGGCCGAGAACAGCATCGACAGCGTGCATGCCGAGGCCTTTGCGTACCTGTATGAGCTGCGCGCCCTCAATGTCAGCTATAATCGGCTGGAAACATTCCCAGCCGCGTCACTTGCTCTTCCGCAGCTTGAGAAGCTAGACGCAAGCGGAAACCATTTCTCGTCACTGAAGCCGCGGCACTTGGACAATCTGCATCGGCTTCGTGTATTTCGCCTGTGCCAGAGCCAGCTGTTGTCCTCAGTGACGGGACATATCTTCAGTAACAACCTCCTCCTGGAGGAGGTTCACTTGTGCATGAACCCGCAACTTAGGTGGTTCCCCCGGACAGCAGTGGACTCCCTGCCCCACCTCAAAGTGTTAAACCTCGGCGGCAACAGCCTGGGCACGCTGGAGAACATAACGTCGCTGCTCCAGCGCATCGAGGCGTTCAACGTGAGCGGTAACCCCCTAGTGTGCAACTGTCGGCGCGGTGGCTGGGACCTTCCCGCCCACCTGCCAAACACCTCAGTGCTTTCCCGATCCGCTGTGTGGACTCGGGCCGTCTTCTGACTGAGCTCAGCGAAGCGGACCCTCGGCTGCGGCTGGTGGCTGACCGCCGCGATCGCCGCCGCCCGTCGCCTTCGTCGCCGCGTTCTGCGCCGCGCTCGTGACGCTGCTGCTGCTGCGCCGGCGGCGGGCGGCGCGCGTCATGGCGGGCCGCGGGGGGCCGGCGCGGCGCTGCGCGGTCGTCGGCGTCGGCGTCGGCGTCGACGGCAAGACGCGTCCGATGCTGATGCCGGCCGGCTCCGGTCTGGGACACGACTCGCCGATGCGCGGCCGGCACTTCACACTGCTGACCGGCGACTACGCCGGGACGCGAGACGCCGGCTGCGGTTGGGAGCACGGCCGGCGCTGCGACCGCGACTTTGGCCAGCACTACGCGGCGCAGCGCATCGGGGACTACGCGGCGAGGGCGCCATCGCTGGTGGTGTGATCGGGCGGTGGGGAGCCAGTCAGTGAGCTCACAGGCAGTGGGTCACGCCTGGGGTCACACCGGGTCATGCCGTGGGAACCGCGCTTGCAATGTTGCAATGTGGGGCTGCAGAACTGTTGCATGCGGTGACGACGTCGCAAGAGACGTCTGAAAGGTTCTTTAAGGCAGCTCGTGTGCCGTGATGAGCACTTTCGTATTCTTGAGGGTGCTGTAGGAATTGGTGCCTGGACCAGGTCTGTGGTTTTAGAGATTTTCAGACGTCTGCCTCCAAAGGGCATACGACTTACTTTTTGTGCCATTTAAGGGAGCAGTTTGGGCTACCGAAGTGTACGCTTTTGTGGTACGTTTGGTGCTGCGACTTGTGGCGATTTAGTGGTATTTACAATGTTTGCAGGCTGCTGCAGTTTGTACGTGTGTGTGCGTGTGCGTTTTTGTTTAACATGCGTGAAAAATGTGTAAAATCAGTTATAAATGAGTAATTGCTCTGATGTTGAATAAAATATACGTTATTGAAGTCGAATAAACATACGCAGGGATTAAACCGCGGAGAGCGTTACGACACTGTTTGTATGCGGCTCAATGCGTGACATAACCGTGAAAAGGAAAACTGAAATCCATAGCCGGTAAGGGAAATGACCGTAGGGAAGAAGCTCTTTCCTCACTTCATGAGCGAAAAACTTTGAGTTTTGTTAATGGTTGTTCTGCCGCAAAACGTAACATCTAAATTGTCTTAGCTAATGTCATAAGTATAACATTAAGCATTTATATGTCTTTAGTTATCGGTAGATCTGAGACGCAGACAGAGTTTTGGTAACCGGGAGAGGCGCCGGGTTGAAGAATGTGGCTTCTGCTGTTGAAAAGGAAAACACTCATCTGATTTGCTTCAATTTATATCGATTGTGCCATTTTTATAAGTTGTATAAAAACGATGTATTTACTTCCTTTCAGCCAAAACGAAAGGCAAAAACCGCGCAAACATGTCACTCTGCTTGTAATTAGGAGTCAATAAAATGCAAGAGCCGGGAATTCAATGACTGCACCAAATAGCCGATCCGCTCTAGCTACTCAGCGCTGATATAGACAATGCAGCCGTTGACGTTCCATAGAAGGGGCTTGACGACGCGTGTCACCTTTTTTTAAGGAAAAAGCTTGATTGGACCTTTTCTAAGCTGATAACAGCCAGGGGCATTCCCTGTAAAAGCAAGGTCCTACGGAGATAATTACTCCTGGCCTTCTACAATGAACCGGCGTAGATCGAAACAGGGTGATCAAAATCGCTTTGATATGGCCAACCCAAGTTCTCGTGTGAGTATTCATCTATTTTTTGTTACTGTTTAATGCGGGGCTCAAAACGTTGAAAGTAAACAGTTTTGAGCATGCTCGCTCGCCGTGTTTTGGAACAAAAATATCGCTGTCGTGTGTTGCAGTCTCCCCATGGCCGCGCAGCGTCCGCCCGTAGCTAACACCAGGCGAATTCTAACGGACGGCGATAACGGCCACATGTAAGGCAGTGATCGTTCAGATCGATTTCGAATGCTTCGTGAGCGAATACTTCAATTCATGAATGAATGAACAAAATGGCCCTGGGCTCCCGGAAGTGAGACTCCTGACTGGCGTAGGGCCCTCCAATATCTCTTTTTGAAATCTGGTCATTGTCATTTCCTAACGGGTTGGTGTGCACGAGCCCCCTGTACACCTTTCACCCTTGTGTGCACTTCCGATGTTAAAATTAACTTCGTCTATTTTTAACCGGCTCATTTAGCAGTGTCTTCAAATAGCATAACTCGCTAGCTCTGCTCTGAAAACCCGGCATCATTTTATTTTGGAGACAAATGACAGCATGACAAATGACAAATGACAAAGACGCTAACTAATATTCCGCCGCAAACACACGGTTTTCGAGCCGTTCATTAATCTATCCACTTCATCGAAATGGGTCCTGCGGGGTGCAGATAGACGTCTGCACGCATAATCTATGTCGGGTTGGGCGTCATTTCAGCCGGTCATTTGCCGGTCGGATAGCCCCGACGCAGACCACTGAAGCCCATCGCCACCGAAACCTGATCGCACCATGTCTTCAGAAGCCTGCAATTAACCTGCTAGAGCATCTGTCGCCTTGCATTGCGTTTTTGCTGCGGGTCGGTGCGCCGTCCCGTGTGGTGACACCCGACGATAACATTACCTTGAGAAAGCATTGCGCACTTACTGCGATGTCAGTTCCGTGCGAATGTGAACAGGTGAACCGCATTATATGCCGACTGACTATAAAGCCTTACGTTTTGCCTACGTTGGGACATTGAATGATTATTCTGCTGGAGAATATTATTAAACTGAATTATGTTCATTATTTAAGGCCTGTCAAACCTGCGTAATGATATGGGTGGGGGGGGGGGTCATTCAGACCCCTTGTTATCTTGAGCACTACTGGGCAGATTATCAAGCATGAAACGAAATTGATTCCTCGCAAAAATATACAGTCACAAACAAGGAGCCTCACACATTTTAGAGGGGGGTAAACACATGGACAAAAAAAATATTGCGATGCATTTGAACTGACACATTGATCAAGGCATGTGGCCGAAATATTAGCATATCCGACTCTCCAATCTCGTGGATATTCTACGAGGAATAAGGTTATTAATACTGTCTTATTTAAATGCATATCGTTGCTCATAAATGCACTTACCAACACACGCAATTACGGTGCTGACGCGTGTTAGCATGTGCCACGAAAAATTTAGGTTTCCGCAGGGGGGAGGGACACCTGATTTTACAGTAACCTGTTGAAGCTGATGGCAGAGACACGTGACGTGTTGAAGTGTCCGCCGTCCCTTGACGGCTCGCTGCCGGTGCCATCGTTTCTGTTTACCGCAATAAGTCATTCATTCTTTGCTAGCGTTTTTGAACTTGCCTCGGACATGCTGTTATTTTTTAGATGATGTGTGTGGCACATAAGTGATGATGGTATGTAATAAGTCGTTTCGTTATGCAACGATCGCAATGCGATTCGCACAGTGTGCAAATCCCCGTTGTTCTAGTTCTCGAACGGCTCCCTTCATGCTGTTTTTGGTATATATATACCAACAGCAACATGACAGAGGCATGCCAGTATCTTGAAATAATGATACCCATGATGCGGCTGTTTACATTCGCTCTAAACACCCTAAACCAAGCAGCCACTCCAATAAATATAAGACGGTGGGCACTGTTCCGCGGTGGTCACCACCTTAGCATTAATGCCAAGTTTCGCTAAAGGTCACTATCAAACTGACGTCCAGAACCGCCTCTGCGCGTACGATGTTCCCTAAATTTAGATGTAATATGCGCAGATCACGTCTAGAAGAAGTCAAAACATTTTGGGGTCAAATCAGTCCCCACCCCTTTACACCATAGAGTTTAAGAAATCCTGTACGTCACACAGCGCAGACACGCGAAAAGCACCACCAAACCTGGACTGAACTTTTGTCGTAGACGCAAACAGTTTTTCTTCATCTCACGCCTCCGCGCGTAACGGTCTACTGCGCATTGCCGCTCTGACTCCAATGCTGTGATAACCCGGTCGGAGTGTTGACCTGATAGCCCATTTTCATGATGATCTGACAAGTCGATGCCCGTATAAAGGAGATAGCATCATGTTTGCGTTCATCAGTTCATTGTGGTGCCCTGATTAGCATGGTAGCTGACACCTGATGACAGTGATGAACATTTTCCTGTAGTTACTGCATGGCTGTGCGATACTTTATCGCATTTCGAACTTCTCATATGCGGCGACAGATCACGTCGTCCCAATTATGTGGTGACCTAATGGCTGCAGTGACTTTGCGATCTAATGTGGTGACGTGGTATCTGCATGACGTGTACGTGGTGACCTGATAAATTACGTATTTCGAGGACGTGACGACGTCATAGCTGTGGTGATCTGATGAATGATGTCCTCTATCCATTCCGAACCCGAGCCGCCGCACCCACCCCTCTGTCAAATCTAAGCGGCTTGCCCAAATCGCATCAGCGGCGGTTAATGAGAGGCAGTTCCATCCGTAATTTTCCGGCGCAGTAGGTCATTACATAGCGCGGTGCGTGACATGCGCCGGGGCGGCCGTGCGGCGTGCGGCGCGTGACGTACGCTGGAGTGGCCGTGCGGCGCGTGGACGGTGCAGCGGGGCGATCCACACGGCGCGTGACGTACGCCGGGGTGGCCGTGCTGCGCGTGACGTGCGCCGAAGCAGCTATACGGCGCGGCGCGCGGCCGGTTTCTGCGCCCCCTGGCCCTGGGGACGATCGCCTGACAGCACGGGCCCTGAGCTCGCGTAAGTATCCTGGAGACATATGGGCCTGGGGCAATAAGCAGCGGGCCCCACTCGACTCCGACCGTCCCCGGGCTACATTGTGGCGATCTCCGCTGTTGCCACCATGCGGTCATGTTTGTACGCCTTCCGTGCATGTGGAGTTCTGATATTGACCATGGTTGGATGAAGACAGAATATCGGAGATGAAAACAAGGGCACGCCCAAAACTACGCAAAAGCCGTATCGGATTTTAAATTTGAAACCTTGCGTTAGTGTCATTGAACACGGTCCACGCCACTTTAAATTGTGGCTGTCGTATTGGACAGATTCTTGGAGTCGAGTGTATTTCGGTATCCCAACGTATTTTTATAACTATGTGAACCATGGCAATAGCGAACATTGCGACTTTATAGCCCGAGATGCCCATGATAGCATGATGCATCATATAATGGTGGTCGTCCATCAGCGTATGTCGTTATGGCGTGCCATTATTCAAATAAGGTCATGGAAGATCACGCCTACCCCCCCGCAGAGAATTAAACCTACTGCTGTATAAATAACTAAGCACGGCACAACAGCGAGATCGATGAGGCTGGATGGTCCCTACCACGGTGTGGCATATTTCTGTTCCGTGAGCAGTGACCAATCACAGTGCGGCATAGTTCTGTCCGGTGATTCGTGACCAAT